TAATGGATGCCCAACCATTTTCCTTCGTAAGTTGGGGATGAGTGAACATCCATGCTTTGCTGATGTTTGAGATATATATGTATATTTCTTTTAATGTTGGATCTATATTCTTATTTACCCCTCACAAACTTGCAAAAACTTTGATTAAAGCTAAATAAGGACTTTCGAACGGCTAGATGGTATTAGAATTTGGATTAAAACTGTTCATTTACGTGGATGGCATGTTTGAATCTTATGAAATTTATTTTTTTCTTTTTTTATATACATGTAAATAATGTTAAAATTAAAAAAAAAAAAAAACTAAATAAGGACTTTCGAACGGCTAAATGGTACTGAACTTGAACTTGAACTTGGGTTAAAACTGTTTATTTATGTAGGTGAGGTGTTTGAATTTCATGAAAGTTATTTTTCTCCTCTTTTATATATTTGTAAATAATGTTAAAATTGTAAAAAAAAAAAAAATTAAATAAGGACTTTCATTAATTTCAAAAACAATTATTAAAGTAGCCGACAATTTCAGTGAAAGGACAAAGATTTTTTTGTGTGTATTCATTTTCCTACTAGAGTAGTGTATCCTTTTACCTTTCAAACTTCTACCTCGGCGATAGATAAATAGTTACTCTGTTGGTACTAATTTCAAATTATAAAGTAAGTTAGGTAGGGCAACAACTGAACAACCTTGTTTTGATTAATTAGGTTGTACTAGCCAATTAAGATTTGTAACCCAATGATAAAGGCTTAATGATGTAATATCTTAAATTTAATTTTAAATTCAATTATTAACATTCTGTTACTTGAATATATATTTGTAAGAATATTTTAATTTACAATTTAAATTAATTTACACCATAAAATAAAAATTGTTTGATAACATTATGAGGTCTAATTTTAATATAAAAGAATTTAACCTTATCCAATGATTAATATATATATTTTTTATATTGTTTATATAATGGAAGGCAACCATTTTTCGTTCTTTATCCCACCATAATTTCATGTCATGCGATTTAAATTTAATATCTCTTACTTTTAGTAAAAAAATATAATTATTAAGTTATTTAAGTCGTTAGTAATATTTTATTGTTTAAATTATTTTAAATCATAAAATATTTTTCATATTTGCAATGTACTTACCTTATTTAAAAAAAAAAAAAAAAGTTGCACTGCAGTGGCAGTATTGGGCTCCCTTACGATTTACAGTGGATCACCAAATCCTCATCTGCTTATTTTTTTTGGTTAAAATATTAATTTGGACCCTCAACTTTTAGATTTATATCAAATTTATCATTGAACTTCAAAAAATACTAAAATTATCCATAAACTTTAATACTAAAAAAGTCATTCCGTTAACATAAATATCATATAACTCATTATTTTCTCACAAAATCAATTTTTTTTAAATGCTAATGGTGTGTAAAATTAAATAATTATATTTTATCATTATGATATATTTTTATCTGTATATTAGATTAATATATAATTAAAGTTTAAAAATCAAATTGACATTTGTAATCAAAGTTTAAAGACTAAGTTGGTATTTGTCTTAAAATTTAAGGACTAAAATGGTATTATTTTCAAAGTTTGAGACTATTTTAGTGTAAAAAATTAATGATTAGAAATAACTTTAGTACTTTCTCAAGTTGAGAGAATATATTTAGTACTTTTTTAAGTTGAAAGGGAATTTTGGTATAAATTTAAAAGTTGAAAAATTAAATTTATATTTTAACTTTTTTTGGGGGTCTCTCTCTTATGCTTGATTCTATTGTCGAATAATCCTTTTTTTTTAATGATATAATAATTTTAACAACAAATAAATTAGGTATTCAGTTATTATTCAGGTGGATATTAAAATTT